AAGCAAATCACACCACACGTCCAATATACTTAAATTTTGGGGAGTCAAATATTCTTTCATTAGTGCACTGATATTATTTATACCATTTTTAGTGTGCATACCAGTCAATTTTGTATTTTTTTGTATGAATAAAAAATCGAAATAGAAAGCAATAGTAATATAAATGGGGCCTAGAGATGTAACTAATGAAGAGAGGATATTTTATTTTAGTGGCAAGAATGTCTACCTTGTTTATTCTGGACTCTATTTAGAAATTTTCATCTTTTTGTATTTGTTTGAAATTGCCAATTTTTGACCACTTTATTGGGTAGTTCAAATCAGTAAATGGGCAATTTCTTATACTCAACTGATAGATAAAATGGAGTTGTAAAGAAAAAGCTATGATTTTAGTCAACTGGTACAATGGAATTTGCTAAAAGCAGGGCTCAAAGTCGGCCAAATCGCCGATATGTATATTTCTCCCAGACCGCTAACTTCACGGGAGTGTAATTTTGTGAGATTTTGACCAAATTTTGAACTTTTGGTGTCATTACCATTAGGAGAAGAATCTGTATTATTTCATAAGAAATTTTTTTTTTTTTTTTTTTTCAAAAATTTTATGACATAAAATGACAGTTTCAGAAAGGGGCTTGCGACAGTCAAAGGGTCAAATATAGTTTTACATGCAGAAAATAAATTTAAGTACTAATAAAATGAATAAATGAACATTTAACATCACACTTACCTTTTATTGAAGATTTTTGTTAGTATATGGCAGAGGGAGCGGAGGTGAGTTTATTGTTGGAGAATACGACACTAATATCAAGTCTGAAGCTTATTTATATATTGCAATTGAACTGATATGACATAATAAACAATATTAATAACATAGAAACGTTGAATATACTCTAGAATGAATAAAATAAGTGTTTATGTATGATACAAAAGGTGTTGTGTTGTTTTTGTTGTTGTTGTTGGGTGTATAAGAGTAAACTGTCTGTAATGGCGGTGAAGTAGCAGCCGAGGTGGCGGTGTTTTCTGTAGCCCTATATAACTCCAACAATATTGGAGGAGTTGGTAAGTTGTTGAATCAGTAAAGAAGGCACCTTGTACTACTATCACAACCACTACCATCCTGTACCACTATTACACTTGTTTGCACCGTATCACCACCACCACCACCTTTGTAATTTCGTACAAATTTCTTTTTTGAATTATACGCGTTTCTCGTATTCTTTACCAGAGGGGTGGCAGTAGAAGCTTTCTTTGGAGCTGTGGTTATTTATTTAGAGGTTGCAAGCACTAAAAGGAATGGAATATCAGGAAATGCATCGTATGATCTTGTGGGATCATCCTCACTCAACGATAAAGAACGGCACACTGGTCGGGAACGGAATCTGAGGTAGCTCAGGTCCGCGTTCCAGATGAAGGAATGTTTGCAAATCAGACGACGATTTGCAAGGCGTTGTTTCGACAAGAATAACGTTACGGCTTTCGAGAGTTATGACCGTTCAGCCTTATGATTATCGAGGGACCACCGCACGTGCTAGCGACACTTTTTAATCGTACGGTGTTATTTGTTACAATTGGAGGATAATTTGAAGAATCAATTACTTACTTAGTTGTAGTTTTACCCAAAATGCATACAGGTGGGTTGTGGAGTTTACCTGGAGAGAGTTGTGGGGGTCAAGGCCTGTGTGGCCTGGTCTGTGACCAGGCCTTGTGGTGGATCAGAGCCTGATCAACCAGGATGTTGCTGTATGCAAACGAACTTATGAGCCACAGCCTGGCTGATCAGGAACTGAGTTTAGGTGCTTGTCCAGTGCCAGGTTGAAGACTGCCAGGGGTATGTTGGTAATCACCTTTATGTGTGCTGGGAGGCAGTTGAAGAGTCTGGGCCCCTGACACTTATTGTATGGTCTCTTAACGTGCTAGTGACATCCTTGCTTTTCATTGGGGGGATGGTGCATCGTCTGCCACGTATTTTGCTTTTATAGTGAGTGATTTTCTTGTGGAAGTTTGGTACTAGTCCCTCTAGGATTTTCCAGGTATATATAATCATGTATCTCTCTGTCTAGTGTTCCAGGGAATAGAGGTTTATGAACCTCAAGCGTTCCCAATAATTGAGGTGTTTTATCTCCTTTATGCACACTGTGAAAGTTGTTTTTACATTTTCTAGGTTGGCAATTTCACCTGTCTTGAAAGGTGCTATTAGTGTGCAGGATATTCCAGCCTAGATAGAACAAGTAACCTGAAGAGTATTTACAGTGCTTTCACTAATACAGTGGTTTTCAATTTTAACTATTGTTCATTTATTCAGACTTACTACAATAAATATATTCATCACTTACTTTAAGGTAAAGATGAAAATATTTGAAGGTAAGTAATGTATGTATTTTATATGTATTTTTTTTAGGCTTAATTTTATTGATCACTTAATATATGATAGTATGGATATATTGTCAAGATTTTATATGCATTTAAATTAAAAAAAAAAAAAAGGACTGTTTGATTTTACAGGTATTTTTGCTTTACAGCGGTAGCCTGGAACCTAACCTCATATATACGTGGGGCTCTCTGGTACTTGACAGTGTGAATGTCTATCCAAACCATAACTCCTCCATGTATGCTTTGAAACTCAAATTTTGAGTTTTTGCTCTTGTTGAAAAATTACTTGACTGTATAATGTTAATTATAGATGTTGTAGTTTGTAAGATTTCATATTTTTTTCAGACAAGTTCGTACACGAGTGTATGGAAGGCAACAGAGAAACGAGGCATCTTCATTTTTCTCGGTAACTGTTGCACTTTCCACAGTGTCAAGCAGCCAGCCAGCCAGCCACCTTTCAGGGGTATTTGTCAAGGTTGGGAAGAGGTGAGAAGAAACTAGAAATATCAAGTCATTTTTTTTGTATTTCTACAGGTAGTAAGCACTCTGACGTTAGAAGTTTGGTACATATTTTTAATACGACTTCTCGTCACTTAATGACTGAGTAACGGCAAAGTCAAGGTCACAAGACCCTATCGGTCAATGATTTATCTTCAATTGAGGAATTCCTCACTGACACTTGAAAAGTGTCACTGCTCAAAATTGAAACATTCAGTTTTATATTTGCCGGGAAATTCCTCTCGATCTATTTTTATTGACGGTAATACAGTGCAAAATAGGTCGATGATTTACTTGCAAGATATTCCAGGAGACGCGCACACAGCCTTGTGTGTGAAAATAATTTGTTTGAGAAAATTTTACTTTTTGAGTTTTTGCATAGAGTAAGAGTGATTTTATATAGCTCACACTTGCATCACTGGAGTGATTTCATTTCAATTAATGTAAAAGAGGAAAATTGAATCTGCAAACGAGCAAATCCATGTACTGGCAAGGTCACGGAATGGATTAAAGTCTGAGTAAGAGGTTCCATCGTAGTGTCACGCAGAGGAAGGAAGAGGGGTCGTCGAGTCGATTCGGATGACAAGACAGGATGGAACCAAATGGGATAACTGCGAGGGTGTATAAATGTGTAGTGGAGGAAAGGCAGGGGAGGGGTTATATTAGGAAAGGTTAGGAGGAGGAGGAGGAGGAGGAGGTTATGAGAAGGGATTAGACATTGAGTGAGTATGAGAGTGTTAGATAGGAGTGAGTGGAGATAAGTGGTTTTTGTGATGTGAAATGAGTTTGAGAGTAAGGAAGGTAACATTTAGAAAGAGACTGGGAAACTTTTTATGTTGAATTTTTTCTGGTGGTGAGATATATGTACTGTACTTACTTACATTGTGAAGGAGGAAGATTGTGGATATTGCAGTTTTGAATTGTGTAGTATGAGTGTGCATCTGATAAGACAGTGATGGAGTGAGTAATAATAGTGAAATTATTTATTAATTTAGGTTTTTAGACACTGTAAGTATAAGAGAAATGATTAATGTGTAATGAAATTGGTTTTAGCACATTATAATTGATATATATAAACATGACGGTTGTACATTTTTACCTTAATGCTTAGTGCAACAGGTTTAAATCAAGGAATAAATGTTTACAGAGTTGAAGTTGTAAGGAACAGCACCTGGTACGAGGCCGTTAAAAAATGTAGTACACACAGACAGCGGCCCTGACTGGGAATCTGCTGGCAGTCATTGATGTCACAGCGAAAGGACATTAAGTGAGGACCTAATGTACTTTGTTATTTTTTTATACATTATTTTTTAGAGATGATTAAGTTTTGAGGGGAAATAATTGACAAATTCATACTTTGAACATTTTATGAATAATTTGCAATATTGACAATGACTGACTGACAGTTGATGGGGTTTATTCATTATAAATGGAAATAGAGAATAATTCCAATTTTTTTCAATTTCAGTATAAAGTTGGCAAAGATTGGAGACAAGATTTGTACTACTCAATGCAATGTCATCATCGTAAGGTATACACAACTTGTTGAATGTGTATATATATATGACTGGCAGGTGGAAAGAGTGTTTTTATAAATAGTGTCATGAAAAGTTAAGTGATTATTCTGCAACTCATAATGTATGTTTGAAGATGCCAGTGTCTGCCATCTTAAAACGTGTGAAGGAAAGAACATGAGCGTACTCACGTAGGTTAGTTTTACCGTTCATGTTGCAGTTGTACTAGTAATAAACACTGCTTGAGTAAGAGAAGCGAGAAGCAATGCTGGAGGAAATGTACTCGAGTCCTAAAATCCAGGATTAAGAGTACTGTAGTTGTATGATTCTGGACTAATAATATTGAGTCTTAGGACCCAGGAGTAATACTAGTTGAATAGTAGATCCCAGAACTCAGAGGGGAAAACATTTTCATAAATAGTTTATTAAGTGAATATAAATAATTTAGTCTTTTAATCCTAAGATAGATAGAAGTGAAACAAACAACAGAATAAGATAAGGTTTGTATTTCATCCTGTGAGACCTTGGTTATACCTCTTATTCCCAGGCTGTGTAAGAGTATAGGTTTTAGGTTTCTTGTTTCATATTAGGCATACCTGGGGAAGTGGAAAAGAATCTTTTTTTAAAAACCCCAGTGTTGAAAAAGCAATTAAAATTTCGGAAAAAGGGGTAGAAACCCCCCTTTTCCCTTTAAAAGATACTAAAAAGGGGGGGAAAGTCGGAATTTGGTGTATGTTAGAATAAAAAAGAGCTGGGTCCGGCTTTAAGTGAAAAAAGCTGGGGGGGGTGGAGAATTTCAATGGAGGGGAAAAATGCGATTAATCAGGGGTTCAAAAAATTTTAGAGCAAAAGGATAGTAGCAAAAATTTTTAAGGATAACTATGGCGGGAAAAGAGGGACTAAAATGAAAAGTGGGTTATAGAAAAGGTGTATGAAACCGGAGAAGAGAGAATGTAGAGGAGGGGTTTTTGGGGAAATGTTGAGTAAAATGCGTGGGGTTTTGAATCAATGTGAGGAATGGTGGTTTGGGGATTTCAATGCTAAAGTGGGTAAAAATGTTATGGAGGGAGTAGTGGGTAATTTGGGTGCCGGGGGTAAATGTAAAGGGAAGCCTTTAATTGGCTATGTTAGAAAGAGATTTGGAAATAAGTAATACATATTTTATAAAAGAGGATAAAAAAAAAAATTTCAAGGGATATGTAGCACGAATGAAAGTTAGATTATGTATGGGGGGGTAAAAAGGTTGATGGGGAGGCTCCAGGGTGTACATGTTTTATAGAGGGGAACGATATATCGGATCATTATTTATTTTTGCTCAGTTTAAATAAGAGTAGATGGGAAAGAGGAAGTGGCAAAACAAGTAAAAAGGGGGGTGAAAGTTCGGGTGAGATTAAGCGATATTGCAGAAAGGGGGCTAGTGCAAAGATGAGTATGGGGGGGTTAAAAGGTTGGAATATTTTAAAAATGCATATTAGAATGTGGGGGGAAAATTTGTGGTTTTAAGGGGGGTGGGGGGGAGGGGGAAAGAGGGGTGAGGTGGAATATAAGTAAAGGGGGGGAAAAAAGAGAAAAAGGGAGCTTATGAGAGGGTTTTTTCAAAACAAAGTGTTAAAAAGGCAAGTATATGGAGTAAAAGGAAAGGAAAAAAAGTGGTAGAGAGTGCAAAAGGGGAGCAATGAAACAGTGGGGGAGCACTGTCAAAAATTTTGAATGAAAAAAAAGAAAAAAATTTTTGGGTTGAGTTAACAAATTAAGAAAACCTAGGGAAAGTATGGATTTTTCAGTTTAAAACGAGTAGGGGAGTTAGTAGATGGGGAGAATATTTTGAGGAACTTTTAAATTTAAGGAAGAAAGGGAGGCGGGAATTTTATGCACTGGCCAGGGAGGTATACCGTTCCCGGGGAAGGGGGGTGTGATTACATAAAGGGAATTGACACAGGTCCTGTCTAAGGGGGGGAAAAAACGGAGTGTGGAAAATTTGGATAAGGGGGTGGGGTTTTTTGTAAAGGGTTGTTGAGGGGTTTGGTCATTTAGAAGAAATGGATCAAATAAATGACAGGGGGGGGGAAAAAAAGGGGGTAAACGGGTTTTTGCATAAGGGGGGGGGGGGGGGGCTTGGACTTTTGAGTCCTGGAAAATGGGGAAATAATATATAATAAAACTTGTTAGTGCCGGACTATTTACTGAAATGACATGTTAAGAATATGATTGATTTTGAATATATATATATATTTTTAAATGTGAAATGAGAAAATGTTGAAAAATAGGAAGAAATTATGAAATTGAAAGTTCACGATTGCAAACAATTGACAAGACGGGTGGGGGGCCACAATTGGGTTTCAGAGCTATAAAAAAGTTGCAAGTAATGCATCAAAAAACGCACAGGGGGGGGGGGGCTCCTTGATGTGATGAAGAGGCTTTGGGGGCTAAGGAATTTTGTTGGCTAATTTACCCACCAATCTCTCTCTCTCTACCTTGGACTTTTTTGTAGCATTTACTTTCTTGAAAGAAAAATTCCTTTTGTAAACTGAATTTGTTGGGTTTGGAGGAGCTGAGAGGAGGGAGGGAGAGGAGTTTTAACATTGTTTGGACAACTTCTGGGGAGGAATATCAGTTATTAACAAAACATTTTTGTAGAATGACAAGATTTTCATGGGGACAGGGTTCGGCATAATAAAACTATATAAAATACCTATGAATATTCCAACAATCAATAAAAAATACTATTTTCAATTAAAATGTATATCAATCTTTTATTTTCTTTATCTCTTTACAATAAATTTCTTTAATTATGTTTGTTAGTTAATTTTTAAGACAGCATAAAAAGTGCCTTTGCCATGCTGCTCTACTAATTTGTGTAACCTCTCTATGTTTAAATTACTATTAAAAAAAAAATTTGTCTGACAAGTGCTATAAATAGTTCCAGTATCACTGACACCTAATTAGTAAAGTCAAATTTGAAATATGCAAGTACACATGGCCTCTTTCTTTATATGATAATGCTCAAATTTATGAAATACTTGCCATGGTCTCTTATGTCAATACAAATTCATAGTTGATTTTTTCCAATTATGTGTAAAGTAGATCTACATTTTTTTTTTTATTTGCTTCATTAGTGCTTATATTTTCCTTGAAACTAAATTGCAAGTGGTGGAGTATGTTTTGTGTAAATCTCGCGTATAGTATCACCACCTTTATGTATTGGTTTAACCCTTGCCATCTTTAATAATTTAAGGAAGGTATTAATTTCTAGTGACTTGTATACTATGCAAAAGGACATGTGCCACACTCTCTTGCACAATAATGGTGGGACATGAGATAGATTCCCTAATTGACTTTATAATCTCAAGGCTATTAATAAAGACGTATTTTGGCATTCAGGTTGTTGAATAGGAGTGTGATGACCTTACTAGTTAGTTAACAATAATTTGCTTTGATTATTTTATGGTTAGCAGTCAAATGGATTAATTTTACATATGCCGTGTGAATTTGAAGAATAATTGCAATATGGGTGCACATTACATTTGAAAATATTATTTCAGGTAATTTAGGAGGTATGACAGTATCTAAGGTGGTGGGGATATAATTGCAAATTTCAGTTTTATATCCTTAGAGATGAAACAATGCCAAGTGTATACAAGGGTCTAATTGGAAAATGTATATAAATTGATGTAACAAGTATTTTTCAATAGGGCATTATTAGCACTATGAGAAGTGGAGATTTTTGTTTAATGAGATTACTTGCATAATACTTTCTCAAACAATACAAGTCGTGACAATATTATTATTATTATTATTATAATCAAAAAGAAGCACTAAGCCACAAGGACTATATAGCGCAGTGGTGACAATAGAACTTGTGATTAGAGGATCACAAAACTTCAAAATGTCATGTTAACCATGCTCTGAAATTGAGATTGTCATAATTTTTATGCCCATCTTGTTGTACAAGTATTACCTAAACAAAGACAAAACTCAATTTAAGCCACCCCCCCCCCCCCCCCACCAAATAAACTTTTCACACCAACTTTACTTCTTTTTCAGTGTTAGAAAAAATGAATTTAGATGTAGTATCCAATTTAATTAGGAAGGTCTTTACCTATAGTACAGACAAAACAATTTCATTTCGGTTTCACTTTATCTGTTTTTTAGGGGGATAAACTTTTCCACATATTTTTTATTAGGAACATGTTTAGTTATGCGACGCATTCTCTCTTAGATAAATTTTTTTTTTTGTAAAAAATAATTAAACACTGCTTGCTTCATTGTCAAAATGACTTACAAACATTTCTTATGAAGATATTTAAAATTATCAAATTTATTTGTTCCACATGTGGTCTTATTAATTCATTAACATTTCTGGTTTCTATATTCACACATTACCATTTCTCATTTTATTTAAATGTAAATAATTATTCATTTTCATATATTTTCATTATTACTAATTTCATTGACTATTACAATCCTTGCCCTATTCTATTCAAATCAAGATAATAATATTTTCCTTTAAACCAATAATTACATACTTGTACCAAAATTAATCTATAACATTTCTGTAAAATATTAATTAGCTAACTAACTAACTAAGTAAATATTATTCAAATAACATTTCATATCTTATTTTCCTCAAAAAATAATAACTTTCAATCATTACATTATTTTTTCACTAACTTTCAATAAGGGATAAAATATTACAATTTTATTATAATTAACAAACCCTATATAAACTCAAAAAATATATTCATATTCCTGATTGGCTATTCATTTATAAAATTTAATCTATGCTCAAGTTCCCACAATTAAAACTGAATACTTACAAATTCCCCTTCATTATAATAACTTTATTGGTATCATATTTCACAAACAATGTTACTAACCATTTCACAGCGACAAATCAACCCATCCAGAGTACATGAATACCCGGTATTTCCAAAACACAAGTCTCCACATAATGCCTCAAACACTACAAACATATACAAAACTCCCACATTATATATACACATGCAGTCATATTAACAATGAAAAGTCTGGGATGCAACCTTCATTGTTAACTGTACGTTTGTAGACATTAGTGAAAACTTGGTCTGGACACCAGCAGTATCTTCACTCTTTCAGTGAAGAAAGTCATTATGGCTTTTACAATGCTCATTCAACAATCCACCAAAACCTATTAGACCTAATTTGCATTTAATAATTAATTAATTATCTTAAAATATTAAACATCACATTAACTCACTCCATATAAAACCTCTACATCACATATTGAGCAATGCCACCTCCGCAAACACGCTTCCAACAACCTACGAAAAAATAATAAATTTTAGTAAACTTTACATTTTGAAATTTTTAAATATACATTTCTCCATAATAATTTATTTTTAACTAATATTAAAAACAATCAATTCTAACATTTCACATAACCTATTCAAACTTTAATCAATATTTCATCTATTTATTAAAATCTAATTTGTTAATATTGATTTTTAAGAGTAATGTAAAATTTTTCAACCTCATAAAATATCTTTCAAATAATTAACTGTGATTAATTCTTAACATATCTTTACTACATTTTTAACACTCAACATACTGCTTATTTAAACTACCATTAATGCTATGCATAAAAGGCTCTTCAGCATCTTACAAACTTCTATCATCTTCAAATTAATAAGTACATTTACTTAGTGTTTATTTCTTAAACTAACCATAAGCACAGCCAGGATTCAACCCACACTTATAGTCTCAAAACTCCAGCCCGTCACATTACCCGATAACGACGTGTTGACAGCAGTCGAGAGACTTCACTTACACTTCATCACGGCTACACTACTTGGACATTACTCTTTAAAAACTTACATTTGTCATCATAGTCGTGCCTGTTCTAACCTTCCTATGGTGTACATATATACCTAGTTGAATGAATCTTATTGTGGCTACTTGGTCTAGTGGCTAACAACACAATGCAGTTTTGAGACTATGAAAGCACCTTCAATCCCAGCCAGGCATATGGTTTGTTTGAAATCTTGTCATTACAATTTCTTGAGTCCACTTAAATATAAATTACTAAACAATACTTAACTTTTCATTATTAGCTGCTCATATTCCCACCCTCTGCTAAATATTACTACCAATCAACCACCATACTAAGCTCTCATCCTCCATCAATCAATCTGAAATAAAAATAAATAAATATTAAATACTTATTAATAGTCAAAAATATTTCAATAAAACACCTCAATAATTTATTAAAATACATTACCAACATTTAACTCTAAAAATTAATACCCATCATCTTTCTTAAACATTGAAATTAAAATTTTTAATAAATAATAATCACACTACATATATACCCACCATTATCTCCAAATCAATTAATTATTTCCACTCCACAACTATTAATACCTCAAATCAAACAAATGTATACATAACTCCCACATTACATATACATTTGATCAAAAATTAATAATGACAAGTCTGGGATAAGACCATCATTATTTATTCTGTTTCAATCCTAAATATAAAAAAAGTTACTTTACTTTCTTACTTCTCCTTCTAAAATTATCTTCCTCTCAATAACAATATTCTCCCTACATATACCCTTTAAGGCTACTCAATAAACAACTTACATAAATATAAAAATATTACTCAACTTATAACAAAACATATACATACAGTAGCCTTCACTCATCTTCCGCTAATATATCAGCCCCATTCCATCACTACACAACTCCAACTCCATCATTGATTCACTCATAATCAAAAAACCACTAATAAGTCACCTTCACAAATCTGAAATAAAAAAATAAAATATTTATTACCAAACATATCAACAAATAACAATTTTCAACATGTAAAAACAATTATACACTTTTCAATATTAATTCCTTGTTTTTCGCCCCTTCTCCATTCACTCAACTGCTAACTCTCACAACCTACATAAACCTATCAATAAAAAAATTAAAAAAATTAATTATTAAATTCAAAATAAATGTTAACACACCTTTCAATAATAATTCCTTATACTCACTGCCTCTCCCAAAATTTTCAATCAGTCAGCCAGATAGTAATCAAAACTCAGCCACAACCTCTACCAACCTGAAAAATAAAACATATCCACTAATAAACAACAGACTATAAAAAAAATTAGTCGATAAAATAAAAAAATATTATTACTTTCACATTTCTCTCATCAAATCCCTCAATTTTCATATATAAAACCCAATACACATTAAGACCTCAAACCCACAAATGTATATACAATTCCCAAAATTACATATACACTTGTTCAAAAATTATAAATAACTCTACGATCCAACCCTCATTATTTAGTCCTTGTTTCAAGCCTTAATACATCAAAAACTACATTTCTTGATCCTCAAACAAAATTTATCTAAAAATCAATATTCTTCCATACATAATTTCAACAAATTTCTCTTCATTAAAACTTAAAAAATAATATAACTCACTCAATCTTCCCACTAAAATCTCAAACAAATATGTAAAACATTAAATTTATTGTGTTATACAATTAAAACAATATTTCTTCAAACATTGTCAATTCAAAAATTAACAATAAAATACATACCAAATACATAAGAAGAGTATAACCACCAATCCACACTTGCTGCCTCGCCTAAAATCCATCAACCGCTCAGTAAATAAACCACATACATTCTTCATCACCTGAAATAAACTAAATTTCTTATTAAACATATCAAATATAAATTAATATATTCTCACATCAAACCTACTTATAATCATTATCTATTTTATTGTTATTAATCAAATTTAATAAAACAATAAATTAAAATTTTTCAAAAATATAACCCTAACCACATTATACAACTATAAAAAAAAAAAACTATATTACACATATTAACACCTAAAATGTATAAAAAAACTCACATATTATACATACACTTCTTCAAAAATAAAACAATGACAAGTCTAGGATGCAACCTTCATTATTTAGTCAATGTTTAAACCCTTAATACACTCAAATTTACTTTACTTACTTCTTGCTCCTCAACCCATAATTATCTTCACCCCCCCCAGAACACCCTTCTCCCTATATACCCGTAATGCTCCTAAATAAATAATTTACATATACGTAAAAATAACATTCTTATCTTAACATGAACCACCTCATCAACATCCCATATTTGTTTCCTCTGATAAAGTCCGTCATTCACTCACACTCCCCCATAAATTCATCATAAACCTAAAAAAAATTTAAAAATCTCTTAATAAATATATCAAATAAAATTAACACACATTTATAACAACTATTATTACACACCTTTCCACAATAATTCATTACACTCATCGCCGCTTCCAAACTCAATCACAAATAAAATAAAACACTTCAAAACATTGACATTCTCTCAATAAAAATTTTCTGGTCGATATATAAATATTATCTATTTTAGTCCCATCATCTTAAACACTACTACAATCATTTTGGTATTTATTTATTAATTTTTTTCAAAATATATACATACCCGACATTACATCAAAAACAAAATAACAACTATTACTAATCTTCCTCCTCTCAAAGTATTAAGACCTCAAATACCACAAATATATACATAACTCCCACATTATATATACACTTGTTCAAAAACTAATAATGACAAATCTAGGATATGACCTTCATTATTTTGTCTGTGTTTCAAGCCTTAATACACAAAAAATTACTTTTTATCTCAATTAAAAAATTATCTTCACCCCCACAACACCATTCTCCCTATATACTTTTAACGTTCTTAAAAAATTTAAACAAATAAATAAAATATTACTTATCTTAATACACGGCACCAGCAGCCACCCAAACTTCCTTCCTATAACAAACTCCATCAATCACAATCGGTCACTAATTCATCACCAACCTGTAAAACAGTACAAAAATATTTCAAATATATAAATTTCTCAAAATTATTTCCTATTGCATACAAAAATAATATCTATTGGAGTGATATCACCTTTCTTAAATACTAGAATCATTTCTGTTTGTTAATATTTTTTAAAACTATATAAATACCCAACATTACATCTGAAACAATAACTACTACTACTACTACTACTACTCTACAAACATTAACACCTTAAAAACCACAAACATATACACAACTCCTAAATTACATATATACATTTGCTCCAAAATTAATAAAAACAAGTCTGGGATACAAACTTCATTGTTTATTTTCTTTCAAGCCTTAATACAATAAACATTTACTTCGTCATTAATAAAAAAATTTCTTCACCATAAAAAAAACCCTTTGCCCCTACAAACCTTTAACACTCTCCAATAAATTATTTACCAATACTAAAATAAATATTACTCATCTTAAACACACAAATAGACAACCTTTCCCTCACTCTTCACGGTAAAATACCTTAACAACCTGAAATTTAAAATTATTTTAATTTTAAACATTTTGAAACATTTAAAACAGTATCACTTACAATATTAATAAAATACACATACCACATAAATACCATTCCACAATAGCCATCTCTCCCAAAAATCCCCCACTCACTCAGCCATCCATACTCTACTATCAACTCGCTTCACAAAAACTAAAAAACAAAAATAAACGACTTAATAAAACATCTCTCTATATAATATTAAAACACTTCAATCAATTAATTTACAAAAACATCAAACATTACTCATCTTAATACACCTCCAAAACTTTCATCAACCTGTAATAAACAAAACATGAATAAAAAAACTTCAATTTTTTTTTCAAATTTTTGACAATTATACTCAAATTATATGAACAAAAAAATTATTATATTTCAAATTAATACAAAAATATTCAATACAAATGATAATGGCATCCACTTTAATTTGGGCAAGTACTTCAAACTTCACAAATAATAAATATAATGAGCATTAATAAATTGTCAACATACAAAATCAATTTGGTCTTAATGATGACTGCACTTCACTGCCTAATTACCTTCAACATACCACTCATTCCCATCCTAATCAAATTACTTACTTTGCATTATTTTAATAACACGACATTCTCATATAAACATATAAAATATCCTTTTTCTATCAAATAGACAGGCAAACTACATCTCCAATCCATGACCACTTCTGGGTCACTAACTCACTCAATCACTCAGTCAGTCAGTCAGTCAGTCAGTCAGTCAGTCAGTCAGTCAGTCAGTCACTGACTCAGACACTTAATCAGAAATAACTTCAGTATTATTGTCTGATAATGACAATAACCCCATCTTAATATTGGAAATAATGACATTAACATGGGAAAACAACTACAACTTCTTGTCCAACTACAAGCCAAAAAAAAAAAAAATATTTACATACGCCTAAAAAACAACCATCAAATTCATACGTTTAAAAGCCACCACCTTCCAAATAAATTAATTACCCAATTAATGCATGTCTACAGTAATTCATATAATTGCTGACTAGACAAATAATTCACAAAACTTGCAATCCCATTCATTAATAAATCAAACAACATATTTATGTAAATAATCCCTTCATCTCCCTAAAGATACGATTATTTAGTAGTCAATTCCATTAACACACTACTTAAAATATACACGTATGGGTATTTCTACAAAACAATACATCACTCAATCTACCTGAATTATTAAAATTAAAAAAAAAAATTTATTAACTTTGATATTACACACACACACACCTCAGAGATATCTGAAATAATATTCTAAATACAATAATTAATATTTTAAAATCAATCAATTTCCTCAATAAAAAAAAAAAAATATTAATAGACACAAATGACCGACTTCCTCCCTCAATGTCTACTATAAAATAATATAAATCTAAAAAATAAAAAAAATTTATGAATTAACATTAATGCAAGTTCACCTAATATAAATAATACAAAAAACACCTACTTCAACCTCAAATAAAAAGACTTTTAGAATAAGACAAATCGTTATAAAATATTCCACACTTACAGTATAAACACCAAAATTGATTCATTACCTATGTATCTCTCAAATTTCATTTCTTCTTACACATGATATAACATTATAAACACAAACACAGATTCAACTTCCCTACACTTTTGATAAAGTCGTGATAAACTCATTTTCCATATCATTTATAGGCACCTAAACCTTGATTGATACACAATACTGCACTAATCTGTTATAGGATGAAATTGATAACTCATTTACACATCAAAAATTTTCCAATTTACACAAATTAAAACTATCACACGATATAAAAAAATTTTACTAAAAAACTAATTGGATTTATACTCTTAACAATTGTTTTTTCAAATATTCTAATAACAAATAACTAGAGAAAATAATCAGATTAACTTGCTTCTCTCCAACAAAAAAAAAAATATCACAAATTCATATTCTTAACATTAATGAATCATGACCTACATACAATTGATCACAAACCATAAAATTTCTTTTAATGTATTATGAAATTACCAAAATAACTAAAATAATTATATAAAATCTCCCTCAATCCCACATTTTCACTTCATCCACCTCATGTGACTCAAAAATTACCTACATACATTAATTTACCATGTCCTGAATACGGGTCAAATACATACATACATACATACATACATACATACATACATACATATACATAAATACACACGTCATCTCATTTGCCAATATCATTTTTTTCAAACCATACTTCTACCTGCACAGATAATTTTTATTCACGGTACCAAAATTAAATTAAATACAATCGATCCCAAATCCATAAACAATTTCAAATATCTCATTAGTTAAACAAATTAATACATTTATATCTATTATTTATTATTATCACATTGGCCAATTCCCACAAACGAATGGTGGCTCAAACAAAATAAAAACTAAACATCATTCACTCCATCACTGTCTTGCCAGAAGGGTCCTCTACAATACAGTTCTTAAACTGAAATATTAACACCCCTCCTTCAGAGTGCTGCCACTGTACTTCCCATCTCCAGGACTCTACTCCAACCTGTCACTTTCCCTAAACCCCTTCATAAAGGTTACTTTGCTCACACTTCAATAGCACATCAACTATTAAAAACCATTTGTCTCCATTCACTCCTATCAAACACACTCACGCATGCCTGTTAAAAATACAAGCACCTCACACCCACAACCTCCTTTACCCCCTCCCAACCTTTCCTAGGCCAACACTGACCAATACACTCTTCAAATCACTCTGTTTGGCTCCATTCTCTCTACACTTCCAAACCACCTCAATAACCCTTCCTCAACTCTCTGCATAAAAATTTTAGTAATCCCACACCTACTCCTAACTTCCAAACTACAAATTCTCTGCATTATATTCACACCACACATTGCCCTCAGAAATGACATCTCCACTAACTCCACCCTTCTCCTTGCTCAAACATTCATCACAACCATATAAGACCATTGGTAAAATTATACTCTCATAAATTCCCCTCTTTGCCTCCAAAGATAAAATTCTTTGCCTCCACACACTCCTAAGTGCACCACTCACCCTTTTTCCCCTCAAATTCTACGATTCACCTCATCTTTCATAGACATATCCACTGACACATCCACTCCAAAATATCTGAATACACTCACCTCCTCCATACTCTCTCCCTCCAATCTCATATCCAATCTTTCATCACCTAATCTTTTTGTTATCCTCATAACCTTACTCTTTCCTATATTCACTTTAATTTCTTCTTTTGCACACCCTACCAAATTCATCCACCAATCTCTGCAACTTCTCTTCAGATTCTCCCAAGAGCACACTGTCATCACCAAAGAGTAACTGTGACAACTCTCACTTTAGGTGTGATTCTTTATCTTTTAACTCCACACAT